TAAAACTATTCTAAAAACGCTCTTAGCGACAACAGTCCCACAATCATTCAACAGAACGATTCTGACTGTGGACATTAATGTAGACTTGTTTCTTGTCTTTTGATTATTGATTTTTTCGTCTAATTCATATTTCGTATATTCTGGGTTTGAGCGTAATAATTTGTGGCATTAAGTTTGCACATGCAGTGTTCATTGTACGCTGATTAATGTTCTCTGGCCGTTGTATCTCGCTTTGATGAATGCAGCGCTTTTGTACAGAGAATATTGTTTTGTACAATGAAGCGGTTGTTTCATTTCATAAACTTTGTGGTGCTTTTATAATTGCGTGTAGGTTTTTGTAGAGAAAATTTTAATGATAATGTTAAGAATGTTTAGAATACTTCACTAATTCTTTTTCCTTCAAAGTAACAAAAATATTATATTGTTGCCAAATCTAAATATATCGGTATCTTCTAGTAGTTTCACATCATTTTATCATTTCACGTCTCCATTCATGTATTACATATACGTACAGTCGGGGATACTGGCAGTATTCCACCTTAAATTTAAGGGAGAGGCGGCGTTGTTGACCGACTTCCTAAAAAAAAGAGGTACTCAATTCGTCTGTGTTTTTTTTCTGTCCGTCTGTCAAGACCGTCAGTGTCAGTCAAGTCATAATTCATTACTTTAACGTTACTATGCGTTAAATTGTCAATTGTTGTAGTAAAAATGTAGAAAGCCTTACGTAGAAATATAATTGCCAGACACCGACATAACACTAATACTAATGGAACAATATCGGTATAACAGCTACAATAAGTGAGGTTTAAGTAATTCAAGGCATTATTTCGGTACTTTTTAGTGTATTGTTTTATTGAGAATATTTTGTTTGGAAGTCGGTTTTTTCGTTGCAATGAACAAGACAATTTTAAAAAGTGGTACACCGCGAAGATCCACGACTGTACATGACAGTGGTCAGTTATGTCACAAGGTCTACAAGTAATTACCATACTGACAGTGACCCTTCAACATTCGTTGCCTTTTTCGATGAATTACTTCAGTTGATATTGACCTTCGAGCGGTCTATAAAAAAATGATGTAATGCAAAAGGTAATCACAATTCAGTTGTCTTGTGGGATCTGATAAGTTTAACGTATGTGTAATAATATGAATATGTGTGAATGGATGTTGCAAGGTATCTCGAGAACGGTAGCATAGATTTAGATGGAAAATCGTATACATATAGAACACTTTCTGAAAGAACACTTAGTCTACTTAACATTCTTAATTTCCCTCTCTCTTAATTACTCAGATAGAGTAACTCCTTTGTTGACGTCGTGTATTAAAAATTCTAGAATTATTTTATGTAGTTTGATAACTAATATGTAGTTTTCCGTAGTAGTCCGATGTACGTTTTAATTTTAACTCGGCTAAAATTTTGCCGACACCTTATAAAACTGACAAAATAACAATCCGACTATGTAGTTTAAATTGAAAGTTTGTTGCTAAAGTTAAAATATTTCTTTTTGTAATTATGTATTACATTTTAGACTTCTGCTGTTTAAGGGTGAGTTGCATCAAATCGCCGGTTATCGTAAAAGTTATAATAGGGTTACAAGTGCAAAAACATATTCTCACAGAGGTTTTATGTGTTTTTCGTTTTTACAATGGAAACATTTAAACCTGAATGTCACTAAAGTGTGAAGTTCGTGTCAAGAATGACATTTACGTAAATTAAAATGTTTGGAAATTCATGTTTCGCCAATTACATTTATGTATCATACGGATGGTATTTTATAGTGACATAAATTTTTTGCCCACGGAGATGGAGAAAATGGCACTCTTGAGAAAATAAACTAGTTTGGGCCATTATTGAAACTGTATTTACTTTACTACTCAAA